GTATTCCATATGCTTTTTTTTTAGTTTTGATCGTTCCCTTAGGTACGACATGACAGCTAGGGTGTATGCAGAAACAATAAATATTGATCCCAAAAGTTTGAAAATTCAAATCACTCTTTAAGAAAACTTCGAATTTTATGTACAATTGAGCTTAATGGGTTTTCAGAGTGTCGATATCAATAACGGCACAAGAATTATGGAATTTTCTTGTTATCAAATAGTGAGATGCCTTCTGTAGATTCTCTCATTAATTAAAGTTGAACATTTAGTTAAAGTGTTATTTGTGTTTCTTACCCGTAATGATGTTTTTTTTTTTGTGTAGTTTCTAACACTTATCGCAAGCAGAAAGCTTGATAAACAGTATAAAAAAAGCATAAGAGTAGCGAATCGAACTATTATTAGGTCCGCCGATCTCTATTTCTAAGCGTTATAGTTTCTATTGCTGGTCTACCTTGTTTTCATATTAAACATATATAAACTGAAATTTGTTTCTAAAAGTTTTCGTGTTTTCATTATATTCAAAGTCTTACAATGCTCTCATGTAGATTTAAGTCATCAAATTCTACATCTACAATATCAGAGATCTTTGTCGTATATTTTATTTAATTGTTTATTTACCAATTCTTGTCACTTTTTTTTTAAAGCCAATATATGATCGAAATTTTTCATCATATTATAAACAGATATAATCTCACATTTTACTTGAGTTACCAATGTATTATCATCTGGTAATAATTTTCTTCGTATATCCAAACTTTTTTCATAATATTCATATGCTTTTTCATATTTATTTAAATACATCAAATAAAATTTTCCAATACTTTGATAAATTTTTGCAAGCTTTAATAAAGGATAATCATTCATTTTCATTTGTAAATCTTGAATAATTTTTTCTAGATAATCAACTGCAACATTAACATTATTTTCTTTATAATAATAAAGCTTAGCAATCTCAAAATGATTATTTTTTATATGCAAATAATTAATATTTGATGATGAATTCATTTTTTCGTCTATAGCTTTTTGATAAAAGATAATTCCTTCATCCTTATCATCTCTTGAAAATACTATTACACCAGGATCATCATCATCGTCATCACTTTGTGATGAAATTATCTGTATTTGTGTTCAGTGTCAAAACCTACATTCATATCATATAAAAAGTCAGTAAATGAAATAAGATCAACATTTTCATTAATTCTACTCTTCATTTCATCATAGAAATCTTTCATTATACTTGAATCATCAACGCTACATAAAACTAATTTCATTACCCATAAATCTTCATTTGCATCATGTACAACTTCTTTAACCTTGAGTAAACAACCTAAACTAAATAAAATTTCTTCTTCATATTGATAAACACTTAAATATGTTATATCAGCGAATGGTTTGATACTTTGTAATTTTGTGTCAACTTCAATTTCTAATAAAACAGCTTCTAATCCATTCGATGGTGGTGTTTTTTTCAGCAAACTCTAAACCTTTTTTAGGACTTTTTGATGTTGATAAAAATGATTTCATTACTAAATATGATGTTTGATTTGATCTGATTGAACACAATTCTGTTTTATCAATAATTTGTCCTCGATAAACAGTAATTATTGATCCATCAAATGGTTTTTCTAAAGCTAATTGTTGATTTAAATCTTGTATAATTGAACGAAAATAAATCATCATATCAATATCAGTTTCTCGAAGAGATTTGTTAAGTAGACGATAGAGAAATGATTCTCCTGTATACCAATATAATGATTTACTTGGAGAAAAAGTTGATGAAAACTCATCTATTATATCTAGTTCTTTTTTATTACCATTATATTGTTGTGTGGCAATTTGAATAAGTTCAGGAACTGATGATCCTTCTGTTAGTCTTATTATATGTTCGATTAAAAGTCGAAACCATATAAAACTTGCATTTGATGTTTGTTGTGAAACAGTAGCTAGATTGAATGTGTCAAATTTCATTTCAACCTCATCGATTTCTCTATGTTTAATATGATCAATAGAGATATATTCGATTAAATCTTTTGTTGTCGTAATTACCGAGGCTACCTTAAATTGAAAGGCAAAAAAACAATATCTCATAAATAAATATATACATAAATTTCGGTTTTATAAAACGGAAAATTTTTTTTTTAAAGTCATCAACAAAATATTTATTTCTAACATAATGTTTTATAAGGAATAAAATGTTAGATTTTAATATAAACCTATTCAAACTAAAGATGAATATGACAATCATCAGCTGAAGTGTTTCTAGATTAGTGTATAAAACATTAGCACTTATATTTCAAAAGTTTATTTTCAATGAATCATCTATTTAATATTAACATAGAAGATTACTTTTGAAAATTTTTGTGTCCAGTTTTCATAGTATTTTTTGTTCAAACAATAAACATATATTGTGTGTATTTGTGTAAGACTCATGAATAAGCGGTACAAGTTGTTCACCAATCTTACCAGAAACAATCAAAATAATTTTAGTATTTTCAGATTGTTTAACATATTGTTCACTTTCATTGATATTAATAAATGTTTTAAGATAATTAATTGTATCACGTAATTCTGATTGTGTATTGCGGTTTTCTTCTGTTTGATGAACATTTGCATCACACCAAAGCAATGAAAATGCTTCCAAGTTACGATTGGGTTCAATAAGATGCCTTCGAGTAGTTTCACTCATAATTTGAGAATCACTCTAAAAGAAAATGTTGCAAAGTAAATAGTTCAATTCGAAAAATAATTGAAAATCAAATTCAATTCATTTAAGACAAACGAAGACAGATTTCAAACCAAAGAGAGAGATATACACGTCACAAAAACAAAATGAATCCGATATTTTTATAACATAAATCAGCATTCTACTCAACATAACTTAATTCGATTTGAAGCAAACGTTTTTTTTTTCTATAAACCTAATCTTATTTCGTGGTTGATTGATCGAAAAGTATCATTAATCCTGCATGGACCCATGTCAAACTTGAACGAACCAGTAATGTAATTAAACCTTGTTTTTCCTATTCATTATTTTTTTTCTGATGTATACAGTTTGAGACTTTCGTCTAATGATTCAACAAAAAGTAATCTGACTATAGATTATTTCTATGTGTTAGAAAAGAAAGACCATAAATTTGAACAAAAGTGTATATAATTTATACTATCTCGCTATATACAGTAAATCATAATCATATTCGACACTTCATAATTTGACTGTAGACGACACCATACATTTTCGCTTTATGGTTTCTTTTTTCGTTGTTTTTTTCCTAACATACTTATTTATCATCAATGTCTATGGTTAAAATAACTCGATTTTACTATCGGTACAGACTTTTCTTCCTCTTCAAACTTCTTGGTTTATGTCTCGCCTAGTCTTTTTTTTCTTTTATGGGCAAGCTTGTATTTTTTTCTTTATCGAGATCGATTGAAACAGATCAAAAACGAGTAACTTACTTTCTTGCTTGACTATTTTGAAACGAACAGCTAGTAATAAAATGATGCGTATTTCACTAATAGTGCACTCATCTTCACAGCCATATTCTTCTTTTCGTTTCTATTAACGCATGAATAATTGTTTTGTTCTGCCTATGCGAGTACCATTTTTTCTTGTTCTATATTTGTCTATTATTGTACTCAACCAATGTAATTCCATCTAGAACCGAATGATTGTCGGTTAAGTTTGAAGAAACATTATTAATTGACATTTAGATAAATCAAGATTTTGTATTGATTTTGTACGATTTTGAAAAAAATACTTTTCAATGGATGAGTGGATGTAATACTAATAGTTAATAAAAAAAGTGCATTATTGATTGAGATTGATTCATAATTTGGTAATGAATCAAAAATTAACGTGCTCGATGAATTTCGAACATCAATGGAAGCTAATTGAAACATATTTGAGAGTTGAATAATTTTTAATAAAAAGTTCAATATAGTTTTTGAAGTTGATAATTTAGGCTAATTTCTAATTGAATATTATTAATACTCAAATTTGTTATTTCTAATTTTTTCAAGAGTTGAAAATAATTTTTGTTCAATGAAATGTTTGATAAATGTGATACCTCAATTAAATTTAAAGTATTAAGACTAATTAATTTATCTAAACTTTCATCGAGTATTCTATTCAAATTTGTAATTTTATTTAATATTAATGATCATAATTAGATCAATGATTCAATATCATTAGATAAATCTTCAATATCTTTAATATTAATTAATTGTAAATTAGTAAAGACATTAGTCGACTGAATTCCTTTGTCAAATCCTGATCAATGATGCTATCCTCTGATTGCATAATTAATGAACTTAGTTCTGGCAAATTTTTTATATCAAGTTTTACTTTGAATTTGTATTTATTAATTGAAACTTTTTTGTAAACTTTTCAAACAATATATGCTTGTCGATGGATATGCATCGTTTAATATAGAAAAGTTTTTTGTTTAGTTTTTAACATCAGTATAAGGGTATTTAAAAGTTTATTCGTGAAGGACATGTAAGCCAATAGGAGATAGACTCGGATATCTATTAAGATTTTTCTTAGGACATATTTATAATCATAGAAATGGAAATCATCTGTTGATTTGAATAAAGAAATATTAAATAGAGATGATGTTTAACTGTTTTACCAATGTTAGCACAAATAGGAAATTCGGTATGAGCTAAATAAATAATTTCATAAAGTAGTATTGTTTTTATTTCCTATTGAACAAGGATTCATTGAGGCTTATGCTCATATTAAAGTAACAATCTGTATTTTTCAATGAAAACACGTAAAATAAAATGTTTATTAATAATTAATTAGATCGAAATATAAGTCATCAGAACTGATGAATAGAGAATAATTTCGCAGAAAACTTTATGTAATACACTTTGTCTTTGAAATATTGGCAAAAAATTATTCAAAAGTTATCCTTATTTTATTTTTTTGGCTAAATACTATACAGAATTTGACGCTAAGAAACTATGTTTGATATTCGAACAATTTTTATGAATAATTTTTATAACCGTATTGAATAATTATTTCGACAGAAAATGGATTTCGATGGATAATATTAATATTATTGACATAGATGCTATAATCTACTTCAGCGTTGATAGCTGAATGTAAAAGAAAAGAAAAATAATAACAAGAGAAACAACCACTATTTTTTTTTTTTGAGTAGAAAAATATTTTACTTGCAAAAGTGAATGATGCGAAATAAATAACGAAAAGCAATAAAAGTAACTCCATATTTTATATTATATACTGTGATTTTGTTGTTACTCAAATTGTAATTAAAGGAACTAAATTCCAAATGTCAATATTCACAGCAATTTTTTGAATTGTGACTAGTTACCTAGCATTGATACAGCTGAATGCAATCTCAGAAGTAAAATCATACACGAAATAACTATTTTATGATGGCAAAGTTAGATGGTATACATTTAACAGAAATAGAAAACAGAAGGATTATGATATCACCCGAAATATATTTGCTTACTTCTCATTCTGCCCAAAAATTAATTAAAATGATAAGATATGGAGTGCAAATAACTTTATTCAAGATCTTATGATACCAAAGATCGATCATGAATGGAAAAACTAACAGCATCACAAATTATAATGTTATATTGATAAATGAAAACCACTTATAAGAAAACTGACAATAAAAAAAAATTTCATAAGGCTTGATTTGAATCATGAAATGGATTTTGCTTAATGTAACTTAACTAAAACATATTAGAAAGAAAAATGAAATGATCAAGAGAAAATCTCTCTTGTTCAGTTATTTTGTATTTGATATGAGTCCTAAAATAAACACATATTAGAGTGTAAGGGGCAGGTGTTTTAAGGATATGAGTATGAGTGTGGATAGTTTTGGTTAGATTAATTTACAAATTCACTCCCAACATCCTCTTTATAAATCTCTGAACAGCTTCAAGATAATTTCTATGATAAACAATTTTTGGAAAATACAGAAATTCGGAAGTATTTTTAAAAAATTCAAACTTAAGAAAAGGCGTAATATTCAGTGCTTTTTTGGAAAAGCAATGTTTAGCAAAACTTCAGGCAAACTATAAACAGAATTTCATGAATTACTGTAAAACTGCCAGTAAACTTTATTAGATATGGAAATTACAATTTACCTATTCTCCATAAATACCAATATATTTTCTTACTGAGAAAAACTCTCATTCTCCTAAATATTTTTAGTGTTGATAACTGTTTAACTAGTTTCAAAAAACAAGGGTGTGGGTGTGGGTGTGGGTGTGGGTGTGGGTGTGGGTGTGGATGTGGGTGTGCCTGTGGATAAACAGAACCACACCCACACCCACATACACCCACACCCACACACACCCACACCCACACACACCCACACCACCCACACCCACACTACACCCACCCGCACCACCCACACCCACACGCCACACACACACCCACACCCACACCCATCCGCATCCACTTACAGATCCACACTCACTCGCACCCATACCCTTCCACGCCCTCACACTCACAGGCACACCCACACGCACACTCACATCCACACCGACACCCTTAGACGAATATTGTTTTGGTGCATAAATGAAACGATATTAGAGAATTGTTTTTCAGAATTCCATTTTGACTTTCGCTTATCATTAATTTCATTTTAACCCGCCCTTATACCTTGACCCTCAATATAGTTATTTGGTAAATCAATATTCTTTCTAGTCCATTTTTTCTTCGTACAACTCCAGATATGCTTGATAAAGTTGCTTGTGTGAGCGGTCGATGTAATCAGGGCTTGACGCAACATCAACTGCTTTTCGTTCACTATCGGCCGCTTCAGAAAATCGACCGAGGTCGTCAAGGGCTATGGCCAGGTTATGGTAGCAGGAAGCGAGATCAACCTGATTAAAAGAAAGGCTTCGCAGTCCGATGTCTAGCGCACATTGATGGTGGAGCAAAGATTCTTCGGCGTTACATTGCAAGTCGAAGACGGAGAATGTTCAACAACTCGGTGAAGAAGAACTGTCGGACACGAAGAGAGTTCATAAACACCTTGACTACGAGGTTGGTAAATCGGATCTCATTGGCAATCGCCGTGTGTAGGCCAGCGATCTTCTCCAGGTTGGATTCAGGTTGATCGAGCTCCGTCGCAAGAGCGTCTTTATAGCTTTGGAGTCTGCGATCGAGCATTTCCAGATGTCTTTCATCCCGAATTAATTGATGAACGTCGTTGATAGTTTTTTCATAATGTTTTGTGTCAGGATGATTCGGCGGTAAAGATTTATGTGCAATGTCGATTGCTTTTTCCAGGTAGTTCAGCGCTCTTAATAAACAACGCATTACGATAAACACGAAGGCACAGTTGTTATAAGCGCCGGCGATTGATGGATGGGTAGGAGGTAGAGATCTTTTGTACAGATGAAGTGCACGCATGTTGTAAGAGAGAGCTTCTTCATATTTTCTTTGCCCATACAGAGCCAGGGTCGTTCGTTAATTAGACGATGCGCATGTGTTGAACATGCATCGACACTTTCGAATTTGGTTATGAGATAAGTGGATGAAATGTCATCGCTAATATGGCTATATCGATTCGCTATTTTATCCCAGTGCAGTCTGAACGGATTGTTAAGATCTGCCTGAAGAGCTTTTCTTGCATATTCAAAAGCGAGATCGTACTTGTGCTGCCTATTGTAGACCATGGCCATGTTGCT